ACCAGGGAACCACCTACCTCTCCTATGTCAGTCTCAGCTTTGAGATCTGGTCCCTAGACTTCATTCATTAACAAATACCTATTGAGCATCTGCTCTGTGCCAGGCACTATTCTAGGCATTTTGGGATATAACAAACCAACTCAGGCAAAATCCCTGCCCTCATGGAGCTTACATGCTGAAAAGAACAAGGTAGGGAAGATGAGGGAACCGGTTGTAATTTTAAATATCCTCAGGGGAGGCTTTCTTGAGAGGTGACATTTGAGCTAAGTCATGAAGGAGGTGAGGGAGTGAGCCCTGTGCTTACAGGGAGGAAGAGTGTTCTAGGATCACCCTCTGCACAGACCTGGGGCTCTACTGGGGAGAGTACTGAGTCTACAGCACAAGTAGGAGTGGGCAGACTTCAAGAAGGACTTCCTGTAGAGGAATTGTGGGGATCCAGGTTTGTACATCTCATGACCTGCTCCCTATTTGTGCCTGGGGATTCATGAAATCCTGGAGATTGGAGGAGGATGAAGGGCCTCTGAGTGGAGAAAGTTGGGAGAGGAGGGAGGAAGCTGAGGTGGGGGTCCTACCCCCAGCTCTGTCTCTGTGCGCACGCACTCTCTCCTGCATCCAGTGTGAGGGGTAAGTGATTTCATTGTGGTCAGTAAATCCTAGGATAGCTGGATCTGGAGTAAAGTCACCACGTGGCAGAACTTAAAATGAAGGAATTTTCAATTCCTGGAGGCTCAAAACAATAATTTCAAGAAATGTAAGGCATGAGAAAAAGAATGTAAAATATCTCATCAACAATCTTTTTCTGAAATTATAGTATTTTGATTGTTCTGGATTAAAGAAAATATAAAATGATTTTCACCTATTTTTACTTTTTTAATGTGGCTACTAAAAAATTTAAAATTACATCTGTGGCTCAAATTTGTGGATCAAATGATATTTCTATTGGATAGCACTGTTTTAGAAGCTTAGTAATTTTAGCTCTTATGTTTAGGTCTATGCTTCATTTCAAGTTAGTTTTTGTGTATAGCGTTCATTCTTTTCTTTGTGTCAATTTGTTCCAACATCATTTGTGGAAAAAACTATCCTTTTCCCGTTGGATTACTTTGACTCCTTTTCATGAGCATATACGTGTAGTTCTGCTTCTGCACTCTTGATTCTGTTCCATTGATCTAGACTATCCTTATGCCAACACTACTTTTATTTTAATTACTGGAACTGTATAGTAAGCCTTGAAATCAGGCAGTGTGCATCCTCCAAATTTCTTCTTCTTTTCAAAAAATTATTTTGACATTCAACGTCCTTTACATTTGCATATAAATTATAAAATAAGCTTGACAATTTCTTTTTAAAAACCTGCTAGAATTTTGATTGGCATTTAGAATTCAGGATTGAATTGATTTAATCTGTAGATCAATTTTCGGAGAATTGATGTCTTCCAATCCTTGAATATGGTATTTCTCTCCATTTACTTAGTTTTTCTTGACTTTCTTTCAGTGGTGCTATGTAGATTTCAGTGTACAAATCTTGTACAGTTTCTTCAAATTAATACTTCAGTATTTTATTTTGATGCTCTTTTAAATGGAATTAAAAATTTTTCATTTTTCTAATTTCACATTAGTGGTACATAGGAATAGAGTTGACTTCGTACCCTGCAGAATTGCTAAATTCGCCTATTAGTTCTAGAAGATTTCTTTGCCTGAGGAATTTCTATGTACATGATCATGTCAGCTGTATATTATAAGGCTTTACTTCTTTATAATCTGTATCCCTTTTATTTCTTTTTCTTGCATTAATACTCTGGCTAGGGCCTCTAGTACAATGTGTAATAGAAATAATGAAAGCCAACATCCTTGCCTTGTCTATATCTTGAGTAGAAAGTATTCAGTTTCACCATAAAGTATGATACCAGCTGTAGGCTTTTCATAGATGCTGTTTATCAAATTGAAGAAGTGTCCTTTTATTCCTAGTTTGCTGAGAGATTTTCTCATGAATGGGTGTTGAATTTTTAAAATGCTTTTTCTGCGTGGAGATGATTCTGTGGTTCTCATTCTTTATTCCGTTAATATGATACACTAGATTGATTTCTATATATTCATCCAAACTTGCATCCTGGTCATAATGTGTTGGATTCAATTTGCTGATAATTCCTTGAGGATTCATGAGAGACACTGGTCTGAAGTTGCCTTTTGATATCTTTGTCTGGTTTTGGTATCAACATAATACTAGCCTCATAAAATGATGTGGAAATTGTTTCTTCCTCCTCTGTTTTCTCAAGAGTTTGTATAGGACTGGTGTTAATACTTAAATGTTTGATGGAATTCACCACTGAAGCCATCTGAGCCTGGAGTTTTTTTGTGAAATGTGTTTAAATTATGAATTTATTTAATTCACACAGGATTATTTAGGTTTCCTATTTTTCTTAATTCAGTTTGGTAATTTGTGTCTTTAAAGGAATTTGTCCATTTACTATCAATTATCAAATCTATTTCCTTAAGTTGTTCAGAATAGTCTCTTATTATCCATTTAATGTTATGAATTTCCCTCTAAATACTGCTATTCCTCCATCCTACAAATTTTAATTACGTTTTCATTCCATTAAAATGAATTCTAATTTCCCTTGTGATTTGTTCTTTAAACTGTGATAACCCATGAGTTTGAAGTGTGTCAATTAATTTCCAAATATTTGGGGATTTTACAGATATCTTCATGTTGTGGATTTCTAATTTAACGTCATTGTGGTCAGAGAGTATACTCTAAAATTTTAATCCCTTTAAATTTAATGAGTTTTAGGCCAGAATTAGGTTTTAGTTATTTTAGGCCAGAATATGGTCTATTTTTGTGAATGTTCCATGTACACTTGAAAAAATGTCTATTCGATTCTTGCTGGATGTGGTACTCAATACATGTGAAATAGGTCAAGTTGGCTCACAATATTTAAGTCTTCTAAATCCTTACTAGTTTTTTTTTTACTTCTTCTATTGATAAGATAGGAGTACTAATCTGTAAATACAATTGTTAATTTGTCTATTTCTTTTTCAGTTCTGCCACTTTATGCTTCATCTATTGTGGAGCTCTATAGTTAGGTATTTATATATTTATTACTTTTGTCTTCTTGTGATACTGACCTATCATCATTATAAAAAGTCCTTCTTTGCCTCTAGCAATACGCCTTCTCAAGTCTGTTTTGCTTCATAGTAGTACAGACATTCCAGTTTTCCTATGCTTTCTATTTACATGGCATATTCCTTCACCCTTTAACTTTTAACCTGTTTTTCGTTTTGTATTTAAAGTTTTTCCATCATATAGAGCATTAAGTCTGTCTTGATACTTATCCAGTCTGATAATCTCAGCCTTTTACTTTATTTTTTTATTTTTTTATTTTTTGTGAGGAAGATCAGCCCTGAGCTAACATCCATGCTAATCCTCCTCTTTTTGCTGAGGAAGACTAGCTCCGAGCTAACATCTATTGCCAGTCCTCCTCCTTTTTTTTTTTCCCCCCAAAGCCCCAGTAGATAGTTGTATGTCATAGTTGCAAATCTCAGCCTTTTGATTGGAATATTAGTCAATTTATATTTAATATCATTGTTCATATGTTAGGATTTGGGTCTATCATTTAGCTATTAGTTTTTTAATTGTCTCATCTCTTTTTCATTCCTGTGCCTCCTTTCCTACCCTCCTTTGTTTCAAACAAATACTTTTTGTTTATAATTTGATGTCTTTTAGTGGCTTTTTACTTATATTTATTTCCATCAATTTTTATTGTTGTTTTAAGAATTGAAACCTGCATTTTTAACTTTCCACCAGTAAAATTAGGAATCTTGCCACAATACAGTTCTAGTTAACCACCTTTATGCTATTACTGTCATATATATTACATCAATATACATTATAAACCAAATAATACAGTGTAATACTTTTTTGATTTAAACAGTTATCTGTCTTTTAAAGAAATTAAGAAAAATGTAAGAGAATATTATGTATATTTCTGTTGTTATTCCTTTCTGTATATATGAGTTATCATCTAGTGTCATTTCCCTTCACTTAGAGGACTTCCTTTAAAATTACTTTATTGCAAGACTGCTAGCAATGAATTCTCTGTTTTTATTTATCTAAAAGTGTTTTCGCTTTGCCTTCTTTCTCCCCACTTAAAAAAAATTTTTAAGGTGTTTACATGAAATAAAATTAACCAACTTTAGATGAACAGTTGGATGAATATCCCTAATTGTTTAGAATCACAGAACTACTACCACAAACAACATATAGAACAGTCCCCTTGTTTTAAAAAGATCCCTCATGCTCCTTTGTATTTGATCTTCTCTCCCCACCTCCCACCCTAGGCAACTACTGATATCCTTTTGTCTGTAATTGTGAAATTTCTCATCTATTAGATTTTATCCTTATGTGGTGTCTCTCTTTATCTGTGGCAATGCATTCTGTTTTTAAATCTCTTTTATTTCTGATATTAATATAGCCACTTCAGCCTCCTTATGGTTTCTGTTTGCATGGCATATCTTTTTCCATCAATTTACTTTCAACTTGCATCTTTATATTGAAAGTGCATCTAAGGAAAAAAAAAAGAAAGTGCATCTCCTGTAAGCAGCATACAGTTGGGTTTTGTTTCTTAACCAGTTCTGAGAATGTCTGCCTTTTAATTGTGGTGGTGATCCATGAGGTTTATGGTAGGTGTTGATATGATAGATATTACATCTATCATATTTTCTCTGTTTTTGTTTCTTTTTTTTTTTTGGTGAGGAAGATTAGCCCTGAGCTAACATCTGTTGCCAATCCTCCTCTTTTTGCTGAGGAAGATTGGTCCTGGGCTAACATCCGTGCCCATCTCCCTCTACTTTATATGTGGGACGCCTGCCACAGCATGGCTTGAGAAGCACTGTGTAGGTCCATGCCCGGGATCCGAACCTGTGAACCCCAAGCCACTGAAGCGGAGCGTGCGAACCCAACCACTATGCCACTGGGCGAGCCGTGTTTTTGGTTCTTTTGTTCCTCCTTTACTGTCTGATGACTTCTCATCAGAAAACATAGAGCCAGAAGGAAGTGGAACAACAACTTTAATGACCTAAAGAAAAAAATTATCAATCCAGAATTCTATATCCAGCAAAAATATCCTTCAAATATAAAGGCAAAATAAAGAGATTTTCAGATAAAAGAAAATTAAGAGTTTGTCACTGACAGACCTGCACTATAGGAAATGACAGAGGAAGTTCTTCAGGCTGAAGTCAAATGATACCAGATGGAAACTCAGACTCTCAGAAAAGATGAAGAACGTGAACAAATGGCAAATATCTGGCTAAATGCAAAAGGCTATCTCTTCTTTTTTGTGCCCTTTTCCTGTTACTTTTAAATATATGACTGTTTAAAACTAAAATCACAACTTTTTTTTGTGGTTTTTGTAACCTACGGAGATGTATTACATGTATCACCTATAACATAAAAGACAGACGTGGTATAGAGGCCTAAATAGTTGCAAGATTTCTATATTTATGTGAAATAGTACATTACTAACTGGAAGTAGACTGTTTGATGTTAAGGATGTATATTGTAATCCCTAGGACAACCAGTATAAGAATAAAAATCATACAAAAGAAGCTAATAAAAAAATTAAAATGGGATTCTAAAAGCAATATGAGTAATTAAAAAATCACCTTTATTTTGAAGGACCGTTTCAGCAGATATAGAATTCTTGTTTGGCATGTTTTTTCTATCAGGACTTTGAATATATTGCTCCAATTTCTTCTGGTCTCCATTGTTTCTAGTGAGAAATCAGGCATTCATTGTATTATTGTTCCCCTGTGAATTAGTCATCTATTGGTTTGTAACAAATTACTCCAAAACTTAGCAGCTTGAAACAACAAAGATTTATTACCTCACATGTTTCCAGTGAGTGAAGGAAGAAGTAACTTAACTTGGTGGTTCCAGCTCTGAGTCTCTCATAAGGTTGCAATCAAGATGTCAGCCAGAACTGAAAGGCTTGATTAGCGTGGAAAGATCCACCTCAAAGCTCATTCACGTGGTTGTTGGCAAAAGCCTCAGTTCCTTGCCATGTGGATGTCGCCTTAGCTGAGTGTCCACACAACATGGCAGGTGATTTACCAGAGAGTTAGTGATCTAGGAGACAATAAACCAAACAGGAAATCATAGTACTTTTTAAGACCCAATCTCTGAAGTTGCACACCATCACTTCTGCTTTATTCTATTCATTAGGAGTGAGCCAAAAAGTCCAGCCCACATTCATGGAGGGGGGTGTGTGTGGGGGAGTGAGGGGGGGTGGGAATTATCTCTAATTCAAAGAATATCAAATGATTTGTGGACATTTGAAAACCACCACAGTCCATCTTCTGGCCACTAATTATTTACATTCCTCTGCCAAAGAAATAAAAATTATTGTGACACCTGATAAAGAAAAGTAAGGAAGACTTTAATGAAGGGACTACTGCAACAGGGGTTTTGCAGTAGAGGAGAGAGATTGGGCTCAACTATGAATACTACAAGGAAAAATGGGTATTGATAACCAAGGGGGAGGGTGTCAGTTGATAGAAAATTCCCACGTGGATAGGGTAAGTCTTGTGAAACTGACCTAACAGGATTCTTGCTAAAGGCAGGCCAGAGTGATCTCGTATTACCTGGGAGATGCTGGGGATTGAGGAATTTGACCAGATATCTTGGATGAGGGATTCTCACTAAACTGACTTGACAGGATTTCTGCTAAAACTGGGTGAAGCAAAGATGGAAATTGAGACCCACAAGTCAAGGCCTAATCGAAGAGAGGGCTCAGAGGAGCCTAATTAAAGTTTAGTCAAAGAGAGACTCTTTCTCAGTTTCTACAGGCAAAGCAAAGTGCTTCCTGCCCAAGGGCCCAAAAATCTCATCGCATTACAGAATCAGTGAAAAGTCCAGAATCTCATAATCTACATAAGATCTGGTGCAGATGAGGCTCACTGAGTGTGTTTATGTAAGTGAAGCTTTTCACATGGAGTTCCTCATGGTCTGAAGACCTGTGAACTAAAGAGACAAGTTATGTGTCCTCTCCCCCAACAAACCTAATATGCAGCTATGGGACAGATAAAAGGATAAGCACCATAGACGTTTAAAAATGGGGGAGAGCCAGCCTTTGTGGCCCAGTGGTTAAAGTTAGGGGCACTGTGCTTTCGTGGCCCGGGTTCGGTTCCCAGGCACAGAACCACACCACTTGTTTGTCAGTAGCCATGCTGTGGCGGCAGCTCACATAGAAGAACTAGAAGAACTTACAACTATGCACAATTATGTACTGGGGCTTTGGGGGTGGGGAATGAAAAAAAAGGGAGAAGATTGGCAACAGAAATTAGCTTAAGGTGAATCTTCCCATGCGAAAAAAAGAGGCAGTAATAATGGGGGAAATGGGAGGGACAAAAGAGTCACTGGTCCGCAGCACTGTTCACATCCAGCCAAGCAAATGTCAGAGGTTCATTGATTAGGACCTGGTTTCTCCCAAGCAAATGATCTGAGAGAGAGAGAAAGAGAGAGCAGAAAACCACAGTCCCTTTTGTGACCTAACATCTGAAGTCACACAACATCACCTCCACCTTATTCTGTTCTTTAGAAGTGAGTCACTGAGTCTAGTCCACACTCAAGAGGAGGTGAGTTAGTTCTACCTTCTGAAGGAAGGAATATTAAAGAATTTAACATTTTAAAACCACCACCCCCTGTATGTAAGGTTCATTATCTCTTAATGCTTTCAGGATTTTTTCTTATTTCAGTTTGACTTGGATGAGTCTAGTTGTGGCCTTCATGGTTATCTCTTTTGGTGTCTGTTGTGCTTCTTGGATCTATAAGCTAAGGTTTCTTTTCCTGAATTTGGAGAACTTTCAAACATGATTTCTTCAAATCTTTTTTCTCCTTCTTCTCATTTTTGAACTCTGATTGTCTATTTGCCTTATTTTATATTCTCCCATGAGTTTCTGAGGTTTTATTTGTTTTTCTTCAGTGTTTTTTCTCTGTATTTTTTTGGATTGGGTAATTTCTATGGATTTATATTCATCCTTATGATTCTTTATTCTGCCTTCTCTTCTGTTGAAGTCATCCACTGAACTTTTATTTCATTTTTTTTTCTTTTCAGTTCTGGAATATTTATTTGATCCTTTTTTATACTTTCCATTTCTTTGTTCAGACTTACTGTCTGTTCACTCTTTAATACTAATATTTCCTTTAATTCCTTCAATGTATTTTCATTTGATTCTTTAGATATATTTCTATAGCTGTGTGGAAGTCTTTAGGTGCTAAATCCAACATCTGGGCACACTGGGAATGCATTTCTGTTGACTTTCTCATTATGGTCACACATTTATATTTCTTTGCATGCTCAATAATATTTAATTTAAAAGTGGACATTGAGGGCCGGCCCCATGGCTTAGCGGTTAAGTGTGTGCGCTCCACTGCTGGCGGCCCGGGTTCAGATCCCGGGTTCGCACTGACGCACCACTTCTCCAGCCATGCTGAGGCCGCATCCCACATACAGCAACTAGAAGAATGTGCAACTATGACATACAAGTATCTACTGGGGCTTTGGGGGAAAAAATAAATAAAAAAAAATTATATATTAAAAAAAGTGGACGTTGAAGATATTATGTTTTAGCAAATCTGGAGTCTATTTTATTTTTCTGAAGATTGGTTATTTTTTCTAGAAGGTGGTTAATTTGCCTGGACTACACTGTGAAATCTGAACCCGTGCTGTGTGCAACAGTTGATGTCTCTGCTCCATTTTCCAGTATCCAGTTGCTGCATTTTTATTACGGATCTTGAAAGATTTACTGCATCTGTGTATTAGTGGTCAACCAAGGATTTGGGCAGTTTATACTCACATTTTGGCACTCACCTTCTCTGTGGTTGCTTTGTTTTTGGTATTTCCCCTAAATTTCCAAATGCACAGCCAGCCACACATTCTCATCTTCAATACCTTAAGCCAGTTAAGATTTTGGCTTTCTGTTGCCTGAGCTTTGTGCTGATGGGGGGATTCATCAGTCAAAGGTGCAGACTTGCAGATTTTACCAGGATCAGCCCTTCTGTCAAGGGTTGACTTTCCTCTAGGTTCTTCCTGATCTTCAGCCGTTTCTCTGGAGTGTCCCACACCTATGCATCATTTAGTGGTCAACCAGATATTTTGACAGCGCTTATATTCACATTTAGTATCTCAGTCCTTCTGTTGCTCTCTCACTTTCTAATTTCCCCCTTTAAATCTCCGGCTACTCTGAGCTCTGAATTTTATCATCCACCCCCTCGAGTCCCTGGGGTATCTGCTGGGGGATTGGAGGCACCTTCAGGTGAGAAGGCTATTAACTTACAGTCCTCTCCCATTATAGTAGTGGTTATTCAAGATGAAAATTCTTCCCATATTTCTGCCTGCCTTTGTTTATTTTCAGTGACTTCAAATATTTGTTTTTTAACATTTGGTCCAGTTTTCATAATTATCTTCTGTGGGGAGACTTGCCCAACGTCCTTATACTGACATTACCAGAAGTCCCACCTGAAAGAGGATTTTGGGGAGAAAAGGTCACAGCCCATGATTTGATCTTGTGAGACTAATATGGATCAGGTGCCAGAGATTACCTATTCAGTTTTCTCAAAGTGAGATGTGATTAGGCCTGGGGTCTGGACACACAAACACCTCAGGGAAATCACTGACTTTATACAACTCACAGTGACAAAGAAGGACACCCCCTATCTGATTGACTCTTTAGTTTTGGAGACAAAACCTTATATACATAGAATTTTCCTCCATTATCTGAAACAAGTCACCAAAAATACAGCTAAATTTGACTGGAGGCCTTGGTAGTGGTTCTGTTAAATCTGAAACAAGCTGTACCTTTGTCTTCATCCTCCTCAGAACCATGAAATTACAGGGGTCTCTCACCAATCTGACAGCTGCTTGTGGCCTTTGACCATGAGACTATTCCATTATTCAGTGGACTCTGGGCTTTTTGACTTAAGGCTTTCCTCCAACTCTGAGGAGTACAGCCCATTGTGATATAATTGCATTGGTGTTGTCAAATCCTAGTGAATAACAATTATCATGCCAAAGAATTTAATTTATGCCTTCTCATACTGTAAAGGGGTCTTCTCGGACAAAATTGTAAGAGGTAGGAAAGTACAAAAAATATCACATGTGAAATGGAAATGGCACATCTACTTGAGCGCTAAGCCTGGATTCAGAGGCCATAGCAAGCTACACAGAGAGATGGTGGGCAGAAGATGTGCTCATCTGCTGCTTTCCCCAAACCATTGGCCACTGAGGGCTTTGACAACAGGTATGCCACCTGATAATGAAGCATGAGTCACTGATGGAACAACTCATCTGTTGCATTGTGGCAAATCCAAAGGAGTGCTGCAGCCATCCACTGTTTGATGGTAAACTGCTGACAGCCCATAGCACTGGACGCTCTGTGCAGTTAGGGTGAATGTCGATTGGCCATGGAGCACACAAAGTGACATTGACTGAAGCATATAGACTCATGGGCCTTTAGTAATGGGCCTGCTGGGTGGTCAGGCCATTGGGTTTCTGAATACTGGATATTTAAGGGCACATCACATGGTGAACCCTTTTATAAAGAAGATTAAACAACCTAGACTAAAATGTAATCCTTATGTTACATGTTTCTTGCCCATGAGAATGGATTTCAGGACCAGCACTAGGCTTACAGGATCAGTATCTGCATTTTAACAAGATCTTCACATCATTTGCTTACATACTAGAATTTCAGATGCACTGCTCTAGGACCATTTTTCTTGAAGTGTGATCCCCAAACACCTGGAGCTCCTCTCCAATAGCAAATTCTCAAGCTCTGCCCCAGAGACTCTTTATCTGGTTGTCTGGGGGTAGACCCAGGAATCTGCATTTTCAACAAGCACCCTAGGTTTTGTGCACACTAAGATTTGAGGACAGCTGCTTTAGATGGTGGGAAATCTGGGCTGTGGGCCGGAAATGGAATGATGATGTTTAGGAACTGGAACACACAAGCCATGGCTTCTACTAGGAATCAGTGGGGCAGATCCCGTTGATATGTGGAGAACACAGACCTTTTACCATCCTTAAGAATCACATAGGGGGCCAGCCCCATGGCTTAGCCGTTAAGTGTGCGCGCTCTGCTACTGGCGGCCCGGGTTCAGATCCTGGGCGCGCACCGACACTGCTTCGCTGGCCATGCTGAGGCCGTGTCCCACATACAGCAACTAGAAGGATGTGCAACTGTGACATACAACTATCTACTGGGGCTTTGGGGAAAAAAAGGAGGAAGATTGGCAATAGATGTTAGCTCAGAGCTGGTCTTCCTAAGCAAAAAGAGGAGGATTAGCATGGATGTTAGCTCAGGGCTGATCTTCCTCACACACAAAAAAAGAATCACATAGATATGATGGCAGAGCCACATCTGTTCCTCCACTGATAGTCACCATGGACCTAAAGTGACAGGAACCACTGACCTTGGTGATTAACCTGTTTCTGAGCAAGTTCTCATGAGAGGCCAAGGGAAAGCCAGCCCATCTCAGGGATAGAGGGTCAGCTGTGCCCCCCTAGTCCTTAGAGGCCAAAGAATAGGACTAATATCTCTTTAAAAGAATCCTGAAAAGTAAAAATCGTGGCCTCTTTTTCTGCTTTAGCAAACTTGACACTTCCTGAAATCCAGGTCACCTCTACCATCTGGGGATTTTCATCCTGGGTCAGTTTGGTTTCTGGAGTCATGAGAGCCCAGAACTGTCCCCTGGTGACCTTCATAGCCCAAATCCTCTGCTTCTGCCAGGGGAAGATCTTTCCCTTTCTTCTCACTGATTCTGCAGCCACTCCTAGGAAGCAGTCTCCCCAGTATGGCAGTTCCACCATCCAGCTGTGGGTCCCAGGGGAGTAGCCTTCCTGATCCAGCACATTGGGGTTGGTGTCTAGTCTTTTGGAATGAGCAGACAGCCCTAGTAGAGAGTCTCTCATAGTCACATGTTTCCCATCCTCAGAGACTAGGAGCTTTGGGTGAGCAGTATCCAGGTCCAGGACCACTTCCACTGCTAGAAAAAGAGACTGAGGGTCAGAGCTCCACTGGATGAAAATAGGAGAACCATATCCTACCCCTGGCTAGACTTGGAACAAATCACTTCAGCAATCTCTTCCTCAGTTTCCTCTTCCATAAGATGGGAGAAGTCATCATTATTATTATCGAATACTATTAAAACAAATTACATAGCATCTTGTAATTTACAAAAAACACATTTAAGGCTCATGATAACTACAAGAGTCAAACAGGGAAACTGTTACTTCTTTACAGGGGGAAAAGTGAGTCTTAGAAAAGTGAGGTGGTATTTCTCTTGTCACCTCAGGTAAAAGAGAAGCTCTAATATGACCACTGGAGGTTGACCTTACATTTCCTATTTCCTTCATTCTCCACATGAAGAAAGGGGACTTTCTAGGTATCTCTATCCTTTAATTTCCATTACTCACTGTCTGTGGCTGCTGTCATAGAACCATTTCTGACTGAAGTGGAAGCCTCAGCCTGGGGTTCACAAAAATCCTAGATGTCCTTTAGTCTCTCTTGAGTAGATAGCCATGGCCCCTAGAAGAAATAGAAAAGTATCATTTCTTTTAAAAGGCTTAAGTCTGAGTTACTGTTTTCTCCACCAGAGAATCTCAAACTTTTCCCACTATGCTATTTTAAGTACAGTTACTCCCCCAACACAGACTTTTGAAGGTCTTTCATGATTTCATTCACAAATATGTATTGATCTTGTACAGAAGTCACCAGGAAGGAAATAGTACTGTCTGCACTGACTGTGAACCCTGAATAGGTCTCTTAGTTTTGTGCATACAGGCCTTATCCTGGATAGCTTTCTCCGGCATAGCTGCTTATGTTCTTGAGGTGAACTGTCTTTCTGAAATTCATCTTGATTGTTTTAATAATAATTTATTTATTATATGACTTGCAATACCCAGTACTCCTAAAAATTGATGTCCTTTTGATATCTAACCTTGATTCCTCATTTTCACTCTATATTGATTACCTTTTTGTGAGAGGGCTTGAACTGTTTGGAGAGAAGACAAACCTTCTGCGACTTGGCTCCCATCTCTTAGAATGATGTTGTCATCCGCGGCTTAAAGCTTCATGATCAAATATCTTAACTAACACTCAACCCAGGGCAAGGAATAGACTCATCTGAGACAGACTTGTAGCTGCTGGTGGCCTGAATCTGTCCAGGACAGTCGTCCTTGAACAGGTTGTTCCACAACTTCCAGTAGGAGGAGCACAGGGGAATCAGGCTTGGTTGCAGGGTCACTTGTATTCCTGCTTTTCCTTTTAGTCTGTTCAATAAGACAATGAATCCCCATTTTGGCAAGCTTGAATTAGATTTTGCCAGTTCAACCAAAAAATACCTGATGAGTTAGATTTTGCCAGTTCAGCCAAAAAGGTTACATTTTTTCTTGAATAACAGTGTTTTCATTTGCCGAAGTAGCATGGTCCACCTCAAGCAAAAGCTCTATCTATTCAGCACTTTTTTGCCTTTTTCAGTTTGTATCCAATTATGTTTCCTTCACACCCAGAAATCTCAAGAGGATTTTGGAGGGTATGTGAAATCTTAGAGCAACACTAAAGTTTCTGTATTCCACAGGTAGAGAAATTATGATGCCTGAGAATTTTAGAAGTGAACTAGCATCATGCGAAAGTAATTTTGACCAGGGTTGAAAGGATCTATTATTGTATTCAGAATTGTGTTTAGAATACAGAGGTTTAATTTTTGTAATACTGCTAAAGCCACTACTAAAGCAAGACACCAAAAGTTTGTCCCAAATTTAGACTAGACATTAAAAGAGTTTACGTACCTCATAAAGTTTGGCATCTTCCTCTCTCTATAGCCAAGTGGCATTTGTGTTCTATGAGATGTTGCAAACCACACACAGGAATTACCGATCCTCCCGGCAATAGAAAAAGGCCCTTTCCTTGTGCTGCTCACAGAACCAGACTTCCTGTGCTGGATTCTCACTCCTGGGCCCCAGTATTAGGATGGAGACCAAACTGGCCAGAGTCCAGTTGAGCATGATGTCCCCCTCTTGAATGGTTTCTTCCAGAATGGACAGCACATGGCTCCCTTGGTGGATCTGAAAGTGACACAGCACTCAGTGATGCAGGCCTGGCAGAAGCTGCAGCCACAGAAGATGCTCACAGGTCCTTCATGTGCTCCAGGCGGCTGCACGTCACCTCTTCCAGGAGGTTCGTACTGGTGGGCCCATTCGCCATGACTGCTGTCCAAGGTGTGCTCTAAGAGGTGGGAGCCAAGCAGCAGCAGGTTTGTCTTGTCTCCAAACAGTTCAAGCCATCTCACAAAAAGATAATCAATATAGAGTGAAAATGGGGAATCAAGGTTAGATATCAAAGTTAGTCTTAACTAACTTTGACTGTGACAGGTGGTGGATGTGGTTAGGAATGTGTGAAGGAATTGAGATGGGAGGAGGAGTTGTTTAGGATGGAGAGGGATAATATAAGCCACTAGTGC